GAGGGGCAGGGTCAGCGGGGCGGGGCCAGCTGCGGCGGGGCGGGGCCTGCGGGCAGGGAGGGCTGAGCGGCCTTGCCCGCAGATGGTGCTGCTGTGGGCGGCTGTGCTGTTCCCGGCGCCCGAGGACTGGGCGGAGCTGCAGGGCGCCGTGTACCGGCTGCTCGTGGTGCTGCTGAGCTGTCTGGCCTCGCGGGACCTGCCCCACTTCCTGTGGCCGGAGCACAATCTGCTGCGGGGCGCGGGCCTGGACCTGCACGCCGTGTACCAGCACGCCGAGCTGTTCGCCAGCCAGCCCGAGGCCGCGCTGCGCCTGCACGCCACCCACCTGGGCCGCAGCCCCCCGCCCCGCATCGACAGCGGGGCCAAGGCGCTGCTGCAGCTGCCCGCCAGCGACCCCGCCTACTGGGCCACCGCCTACTTCGACGTGCTGCTGGACAAGGTGGGCTCGGGGCCCAGGCGGCCGGACGCTGGCCTCCAGACGCCGGGGACTGTGGGCAGCGGGAGGCCTGGGGTCAGACAGCAGTGCCCAGCTTGCTGGGGCCAGCGACCAGGGGCCTGGGGGCAGGGCGCTTGGTCCCGCCCGTTGCCCGGCAGGACCACCCCAAGCCGAGCTGGGGCCCCGAGTCCCACCTGCCTCGTGAAGGGTCACCTTCCTGCTGCCTCATGTACTCGGGAGCCCCACGGACAGGGGCCAGGGGCCAGGGTGCCAGGCTGCTCGCCAGAGGCCCCCCCTACCCCCGTGACTCCCAAGGTGTGGTCAGCGCCGTCCACCCAGGCCCAGCTCTCCCCAGGGCGCAGGCGGGCCCGGCGGGGTGGGGGCGGTCAGGCCTGCGCAGGCCTGGCTGCAGGGAGGACACCACAGGCAGAGGCCCGGAGGCAGGAGGGGCGGCCGTGGCCGTGGCCCTCCGGTGACCGCCTCACTCCGCAGTTCCAGGTTTTCCACATCCAGGACAAGGACCGGATCTCGGCCATGCAGAACATCTTCCGGAAGGCCAGGACCCTGGGTGGCGAGGGGAGCTGAGCCACCCTGATGGCAGCCTGCGGCCGTGGCCGGGGAGCGCGGGCGTGGCGGCCCGGGGCCCTCCGGACTGCCGGGGGCCCTCAGGCCCGGGTGTGGGGGCGGCCTCGGGCGGCCCCTGCCCGCGCCCTCCGTGGGGGCGCATAATAAATCAGTGTGGGTGCCCACACTGTGGCCGAGAGGTGGTGCCGACGTCGCCCGTGTCTCTGTGGACCGTCCTAGCGAGGGGGGGCAAGCGTCCTGCTCCCCAGCGACCCCGTCCCCTGCCCCTCAGCTCCTCCCCACACCCCAGTAACCAGCCAGCACCTGGGTGAGGCGGCCCCTCCCCCTCCCGCGAGCTGCGGCTCCCGGCCCGCGTCCAGTTCGCCCCCCTCGGCCTCCTTGCCCTCTGGTGGCGGCCTCTGGGCCCTGGGCCCGGCCACACGCCAGGCTCCCAGGAGGGCCCAGAGCCCCCTAGCAGGGACGGCAGGCTCGGCGAGCCTCCCTGTCCACCGCAGTGCGGGGCAGGGAACCCGCTGGGGACCCTCAGGGCCCCAGGGCTGTGGGGTCTGGGGCTTGTGTCCACGCTCCTGCAGGGCCATGCAGGCCATCACGCCCGCCCCGCCAGAGGGGGCTCACACAAGACCACGCTGACCCCGACGGGACAAGTGGCCCGTGGTCATTCCGTGTCCGAGTGTGTGCTGTGGGGTGCTCAGCTGCGGGGCCCTCAGCTGCCCGGAGCCACCACCCCCAGGCCCTGCCGCCCCACACCCGCGGCTCAGCTCGGCCGCAGACATCCCAGGGCCGGCCCAGGATGCCGAGCCGGCGGGGTGAGGAGACGCCACTGATGGCCAGAACCAGAGGGCTCTTGTTCAGAGACCGGGGCTCGGCGTGGCCGGCGTCCGCCCCAGAGCAGCCGGCCCTGCTGCAGCCCACTGCGGGGCCGCGGGAGTGGCCCGGAAGGGCCCAAAGGGCCGTGGGGATGGGGGTCTGCGCCAGGGTGCAGCGAGGCCCCGAGGCGGCGGCGCCGGCTACAGCCCAGGGTGCCGCACGGGCTGGGCAGAGCTCCGGAGTAGCACAGGTGCAGCCGGGACCCCCGCGGGCTTGCAGACCCCCTCGGGTAAACCCGGGCGGTGGTGAGGGCCCCCCGCTGGGGCTCTGCTGGGACGACGCCCGAGGGGAACCCGCTTTGCAAAGGTGCGGCCACCTTCCGTTCTGCAAAGTGCACGACGCGGGAGACAAGGAAACCTGCTGCGGGCGGCGGGAGGGCACGCGACACCCCCGAGCCGGACTGGGTGAGGCTGGCGGCCGCGGGCAGCGGCGGCTCCATAACAGCAGTGGACATCGCGCGCCTGCCTGACTCCCTCCCGCCCGGTGCCGACCGCCCAGCTCA